CTCCGGAAGTGCATCTTTGGACAACCTCTTGGCCGGCCACTCTGGCATCCCTATGGGTACCTCACTTCTCATTGGGGAACACGGAACAACAGATTTTGCCGGCATGCTCCTTCGCTACTACGTAGCCGAGGGTTTGGTCCAGGGGCATCAAATTCACGTGCTTGGTTTGAATGAGGGCTGGCGAGCAGAGCTACCCGGACTCTCAACCGATTCCAAATCTTCTATCAAGTCAGAAACCTCCTCCGAAGATAAAATGAAAATCGCCTGGAGATATGAGAGTTTGGGCTCCGCCGGTGTGGCGAGAGGTATGTGAGCCAAATTACTATAAATCGGCTCATAATCAACTTACGCGATTCTTAGATAGAGAAGCACAACGAGCTCGGGGTTCATCTAATGCCAACGGCGCTGCTACGCCTTTCTGTCATTCGTTTGACCTGACGAAAAGGTTATCTCCTGGCCACGTGAAAGGCCAGATCGGATTTCATCCATCAATGATTATCCCTATTCCTAGAACTCAACAGGCCTCTCCATTCAAGCTTTTTATACAAGATATATCATCCAAGCTAGCGAATTCGCCACCGTCATTTGTCCACCGTGTAATAGTCCCCAACCTCTTGTCCCCGACAACGTACTCGAGCTCGTCCTCCCTTCCCCAGGAAGTTCTACAGTTCTTGCACGCCCTGAGAGCTTTGCTGAGGCAGTATCCAAAGGCTCTGACTGCTATCCTTACCTTGCCTCTCTCGCTTTATCCCCGGACGACAGGGCTCACACGATGGATGGAATTATTGTGTGATGGTGTGCTTGAGTTCATACCGCTGCAATCCACAACAATCCATAAACCTCCGCCTTCTTCTAAGGGTGATGGGAAAGATGATGAGAAGGTCCAGGGCCTGGTGAAAGTCCACAGCCTACCAGTTTTCCATGAGAAAGGAGGCGGATCACATTCAGCATTAGACGATCAATCTTTCAGCCTTAGTCGGTCCAAGGGACTGATAATCAAGCCCTTTTACCTCCCTCCAGCTGACACGGATGAGAGTGAACCCAAAGCAGGAGATACCGGAAAGCCAAGTATGGAGTTCTAAGACTTCATCAAGCTTCAGACCAGGCACTTGCTTAGCTAAGGGTAATTATATGTGATAGATGCATAACTCAGGTTGTTGCATAGCCATCTACGCCGAACACGAGACGGGGTCCATCTCGGACCCACCCACCACACGTCCCCAAAACTTTTCTCCCAAGTCCAAAGCCGAACCAAATTTCCTATCCACATCCAAACCACAACAACAGGTGAGTAAACAGGATGTTACTTTTCTTTCACTCACTCTACAATGATTACACCCAATTAATATCTGTCAATCCACTGAATATCAAATTCTGTTGATAACATCTATATCTGGTTTTTTATGATTGTACACCTAATTTGCTTAATCATTCGCAAGTACGGGCAAGGTCACCAGCTAACCATTTCCCAGACAGCGCATTTGCGAATGTGATCATGGCCTCCACATCATCCTATGATCGCCCTCTGGTGAGGATATCACAGGTTTCCGGGAGATATTTGCTCTTCGACATAGACGATGTGATGTATCTTCGCAGGAACTACAACATTTGCTCGGTCTTCGTAGGGACTATCCCCCAGAATCCCCAACAGAATGTTTTCATGGGACTGCCCTTGGAACTTATACCAGAAGAAGCACGGATTTTGGTCGAAAAAAATGTAGCCTACGTCGCCAACGATGCGACTTTCCATCTAACGCAACTGGCAGCGTTCGATGAGTCATCACGACGAACATACCTACAGTCGCTCAAGAACCAGGGTAAGAAGATGCAGATGGCCATGATCGAGAGCCATAATCGCAATAAGCCAATAGTACAAGAAGGGAAAGAAAACAAGAAGAAAAAGAAGGAACCACAGGATTCACCTACCCCAAAGTCTCTCGGTGGCGACACCGAGGCAGATGAGAGCACCAGTGTCTCCAGCTCAACACCTACACCACACAAGCCAACTAAGAAATTGCCTGAGGAGGTTGAGGGTTATGTACTCACACCTACTACTAGCAGTTACCTATTATCATCACCATCAAGCTCAGAACCAGAGCCCTCTGTTGCCGTAGACGTGCCCGTGTCCTATCCCTTGTTTGCCCACTTGCACGACAAGGGATATTATATGATGCCTGGCCTTCGCTTTGGCTGCGACTATAATGTGTACCCGGGCGACCCTCTACGCTTCCACAGTCACTTTGCCGGCGTTCACTTCGGATGGGATGAAGAGATCACAATGATGGATCTTGTTGGAGGCGGGCGGCTTGCCACTACTGTCAAGAAAGGATATCTTTTCGGTGGGGCTGTAACAGACACATCCGTTGTTGAAAAGGCTCACGACGGCCACGTCGTATCTCATGATGAGAATGAGAGGTCCAAATCGAGGGGTGGGCCAGTAGCGCCACCAGTTCGAACTTTCTGTCTAGAATGGGCCGGCATGTAGCGGCGAACTGGATAGCGCACTAGGTCATACGATAATACTGACTAATGTTTTGCCTAGGTATTTAGATTTTTGTTACAAAGTGATTAATCTCCAACTGCATGGTGAAACCATAATTACATCGACTCCCAGGAAAATAATGAATCACTTGGTTTGTACGATCACAACAAGGAGCACATCAAAAAGTCATTAAGGCTTGTGTTACGGGAAGTCCCGTAAATGGACCGCGACAGGACCCTTGCTACTATATTTATTAGGGTCCATTGAGCCAACACGTCAACTATCTCGTTCAATATCTACAGTAGGCAATTTATATTTATATTGTGGAGTCGTGGTTTATTGTACTGGCAAACAGCTTACGTAGGATTGGAATCGTCGATGATAATCCGCAACGCCAAGATCGTAGCGTAGTGATATGATTCGCCACCACAATCACACTTCCTTTTCAAGCTTCCAAGTTGCAAGGGTCTACCTACCAGTACACGAGACACGACGTCATCGTGCCATGTTTGTCACTTGGTCTCATCACCCGTCTCTAAGATTAAGTTCAGGACAAGATCTCTGCAAAATCGGTTGTCGCGTTGCCAGTAAACGCACCGAAAATTACATAGAAAATGTCCACAGATACCAAACAGACAGCAGAAATCTCCATCCACGACATCGGGCCGCCGCCCGTGGAAGAAGACTACGTGAATCCTGCAAACAAGAGCCCGCGTTGGCTTTTAGGCGCCCATGCTTTTACCCTACGTTTTCTAGCCAGCTTCGGTTTCAGTCTCGGCAACCGCTCAGGTGTACCGACGCCGCCTCCTACAGAAACAATATGGCTAGATTCCACATTGAGTGAATGGAAAGGCAAGGGTGTAATCAATGCACACGTATGGATACCTCCCGACAGCTCGCAGCCATCTGCCACTGGAAAAAGGCCGGCGGTGATCAATTTCCACGGCGGAGGGTTTATCCTGGGCCGCGGAACCGATGACTCGCGATGGGCCGATGCGCTCGTGAAAGGGCTGGGCGCCGTGGTCTTCTCGGTCAACTACCGTCTCGCGCCAGGCTATCCATTCCCGATACCAGTAGAAGACAGCACCGACGCCATCGTCCAGATATGTCGGCTAGCGGACCGCTACAACATCGACACGGATCGCATCATACTCTCCGGCTTCTCTGCCGGCGGGACCCTCGCCACGAGCAGCTGGCTTGTCTTACAAGACCCCGCGAGGTGGAACTACGAAATACCCGAACCGCTGCCCAAAATCGCCGGTCTTATCCTCTACTACCCCCCTCTCGACTGGACGTTGGACAGATATCAGAAACGCGCCGCTTGCAAACAGCCAGATCTGACACTGCCCAGCAGCCTAACGGACCTCATCGACGCGTCGTACCTGCACCCTCACCTTCCGCGGCGCGAGCGAACCGACATACGGCTGTCCCCAGGGTTGATGCCGGATGAGTTACTTGACAGGCTACCGCCCGTGCACTTGTGTCTCTGCGAGTACGACATGCTGCTTGCCGAGGGCCAGCTGTTCGGGGAGAGGCTGGAGAAGCGCGGCAAGCAGGTCAATGTCCGTGTGGTCGAGGGCGAGAAACATGCCTGGGATAAGCCCTTGCCGTTGGGCCCGAAGAATTCGGTTGCGTTTGAATACGATATTGCGATAACTGCTGCGAAGAGTTGGTTGGGCGAGCTATAATGACTTCTTAGATTTACATCAGCCCCAGATCCGATTAGAAGATTATACACAGAAGCACGCAGGCTAGGTGAATGCTGATAACGGGACCCGAGAGTTAGAGATATAGCGGCGGATTATAATCCCTGGAATCACAACATTCCCGACACTCGTGATCCGGACGGTGGCCGCACTCGGCATTTATACCCGACACATCACGTTAACAACACTTTCTATACCCACACTCATCTTATGTAGAAATACCCAGTTTCGCCATCCACTTCTCACAATGTTGCAGAGATTAGGAGAGTAGGATTCTCTTTCGATATACTGTGACTTAGCATAGAGAAGTCGAAGCAAGCTAAGACAGCGGAGAAATATGACTTATATATATATATACATTTAGAAGTTTTTGCGATTCGATTGATCGGTTAGGGGGATAAAGGGGGAGAGACTAGATGAAAATACACAAGTAGTGTTATTATCTAGAAATTAATATCGGACCAATATAAAACTTACATGTTTAAACATAACGATGCTCAAATTATTGGTTTGGCTGTCTTTTAGGGAATATGTAATCATGTACCTTATCACACTTCCCCTTAAGCCACCAATAAAACTTTATTCAAAGAAGAGCGACACGGTATGAGTGAGTACAAGTTTTAAATGCGCAAGGATGCCTAAAATTCATGTCCAACATAAGACGGTCAGTCCTATTCCCCGGCTTTTCATGGTGCGGAGACGGAGGGGCGCCCGCTTCGGGGAAATGGATGCGGGCATGATGCGGCTAAGACCAGGTTCCCGAGACATGGCATAAAAATGGAAAGCCAACACGAAAATCAGCACGAGCAAAAAGCTGTTGCCCGGGTTCGAACCGGGGACTCGGGAAGTTGATGAATGTCTGTCTCTTGTACAGATTTCTGGTCAAAATCCCACGTGCTAACCGCTACACTACATCAGCTCCGACACTAGTGTTCAGATTGCTGTTGGGCAAAAGGCAGCTCAAAATTCACTTATACACATCAGCGACTCCCCTTCAGTAGAACTTATTACCACAAAACATGTTGTACCAAATGTAACACCTGTCTCCATTGTACCTCATTCGTAGTTCCATCTCCGAGGATGAGGAAATATCGGACAGAGAAGCAAAGAGTCCAGGCGGGTTTCCATCTGAATTATGACCGTTGGGAAGAAAAGACATGCCTGAAGAGTGACATTTCTCTGTTGTAAGGGGGCCATTGTATAGCCCATAATACATACATACATACATACACACGATACCATAGGCCGCGGGTAAGCGCTTAAGATCCATTATTGTTGCTGTTCATTCTCTGCAGAAGTTGAAATCTGACGCAAAAGCACCTTCACATGTTGTACGTTACCTCAAAAGCGGCCCGGGAAAACGTCTGGCGGGGTTGGAGACATCCCACTTCTACGCGATGGCGACATCGTTCGCATTGTCTTTGCTCCGATATCGAATGCAGGTACCATACATACATATCATTCATATCATACCAGCCTTGTCCACGCAGCTCTGCACCAACTGTGACCTTGTGGGCTAATAAGAGGCCAGTAGGAGACGGACTATTATTTACAATTTCCCTCATTTGTCCCATTTGTTCCCGTGGCGTGAGTCAGAGTTTGTGAAGTCGCAAACCCATCGCTCATCCCGCCCCTCCTCATATTCCATATATATGCCCCTCCATCGCACCGCAACCTCAATCCACCACACGCTGCGCACACTTCTCTCGCGAGCAGGATCAAGAAGACCCCACTTGCATCACCCTTATCTCCATCTCCCTTTCCTCCAGAGCAACAACAGCACCAACAACATCCTCCCGAGAATCGCATCGCGCACCATGGCCTCGGCAGTCGCGAAGCGCCTCGCGGGCAAGACGGTCGTCATCACGGGCGCGTCGTCGGGCATCGGGCGCAGCACGGCCTTCGAGTTCGCGCGGACCGCCGCCCCCGCCGGCGGGCTCAAGCTCGTCCTCACCGCCCGCCGCATCGACGCCCTGCGCCAGATCGCCGCCGACATCGCCGCCGAGGTGGGCGACGCCAACGTCAAGGTCCTGCCCGTCCAGCTCGACGTCAGCAAGCCCGACGAGGTCCGCGGCTTCGTCGATAAGCTGCCCGACGACTTCAAGGAGGTCGATGTGCTCGTGAACAATGCGTAAGTCGCTACCTTTCTTCCAGCTATCTAGCTATTTCTATTTACTCTCCTTCTCCGTGGTATACCTCGTGGAAGGAAGAAGCCTACGAACAGCAGCAGACAAACAAACAAACATACCTAACATGAAGAGCGAATAATAACTGCTAACGATAATAAAAAACACAAAACAGCGGCCTCGTCAAAGGCGTAGCCAAAGCCCCCGAGATCGCCGAGGAGGACCTGAACATCATGTTCAGCACCAACGTGACGGGCCTCATCAACATGACGCAGGCCATCCTGCCCATCTTCCTGCGCCGCCCCGACGGCGGCCGCGGCGACGTCATCACCATCGGCAGCATCGCCGGCCGCGAGCCCTACGCGGGAGGCAGCATCTACTGCGCCACCAAGGCCGCCGTCCGCAGCTTCACCGACTCCCTGCGCAAGGAGCTCATCGCCTCGCGCGTCCGCGTCTTGGAGGTCGACCCCGGCCAGGTCGAGACGGTAGGTTGCCAGTTTTTTTTTTCTTGGCTTGGCCATTCATTTTTCCATTTCGGAAAAGTTGAATTCAGTTTGAGTGAGCTGGAGGACTAGATATACTAATGTTGTCGTAGGAGTTCTCCGTTGTTCGGTTCTACGGCGATAAAGCCAAGGCTGATGCCGTATATGCGTGAGTTGCTGTTTCACCGCAGACTAGGTCGGCACCTTACTAACGACGTTTCTAGTGGTGTTGACCCTTTGACTCCCGACGATATTGCCGAGGTGGTTGTATTTGTTGCCGGGAGAAAAGAGAACGTCGTGGTTGCCGACACGCTAATCTTCCCCAACCACCAAGCTGCTGCTGGTGTCATGCACAGAAGATCATAAGAGGACTGTAAATACACCGTTGTATTCATTTTATAGAGTGTATATAACGCGATAATTCAACATGAACAAAAGAAATGATTAATTTTTCTACAATATCTGCACTTTACTGATAGTCACGGAATCAAGTGTTCATCCTATCATTCTTACCTTCAATAAGTGCCCATTTCTTAAATCGACATGATCATATCGAAAAGGCCTAATGTCAAGACAGGTTAGCTATTATACACTACCTGCTTGGCTTGAGATGTGATGTCAAGGTTGTAATTCAGCAAACCAGTTTACTCATTCACATGTGTCGGCTCTCCAACCCACACCTCAAGACGAGACATGAAGATGGAAAACACGGAAGCCAGCATGACACTTCCAACCGCTCCAGCACGAAGCACAAGCAGTATGATAGAAACTCCACAACCGATCATCACTAGTCCTGAAGGACCAGCTCCGGTGTGGGAGGGTGGCTCGACCCATTGTGAGATAGTTGAATGGATAAACAGTTTTCATCATGATAGAAAAAAGACGGGCAGACGGAAGACGGCTTACCAATGTTGCATCAGTGCGACGCACGAATATTGAAGCGTCATGCGATGTCATCTATGTCTGAGCGATGGTCAGTTACTTATCCCATTGCAAAAGTTGTCGACATGGATGGGGTAAGAGTCGTTCAATCAGAGTAAGTTTTTGGTATATGGGTTTCTTCATTATGTTCAGAAGCAGAACTGAATGATGTAGGTCTCATCATAGAAAACGACGGAGGGTATGAGATCTTGACAAATACGGCAACTCACCAACTAATATCATATCCCGGGGGATAAGAGATATATAGATTCAATGTGCATGCTATGTTACTAATGTCGCGGTCAGCTCGAGGCTCAAAATATTGACTCTGGAGAGATATAGGCGGAATGGTGCTTCAGATGGTAGTGCATGTTTAGTTCAGTACGCTCAGGAGATCGCGAGAACAGTGGAAAAGAATTCATCAATAGCGATGGTATAGTAGGATAAGAGGTGCGGCCATGTGAAGGTACGTTGGGTTTGGGTTTTCTCACCTCTACGATACTGCATTTCTGCAAGATCAAAACCAAGATCGCGGAAGCTTCATCCAAAGCCAACTTCCCAGATCAATGATGTAATAACACACCTTCAATCAATCCTGCTTCATTACTGCTGGCCTTGGAGTGGTGCTCTCGTGGCGCTTGAGTTCAATACTTCGACAGGAGGTCGAATGGTGCAGGTATGGAAAGAACTTGGAGGACGAAGATGCAAAATTCTGTTGGGTAAAATTTAAGGGAAGAGGCTGGCCCCAGAGTTGGATCTGGTTAGGTAGTGGGGCGCTGCTACTTACTTAGATAGGTACCTACCCTGTGAACTGGTCAGTGCCAGCGGGGCAATCGATAAGGCACCTCGGGTTAGGTGGGTGGGCTCCGATATTTGTATGCATTATTTGCTTCAACATCAAGCCAACTTGAAAGCTCCTTCTACTTGTCGGTCTACGCAATTCGTTTGGCCCAGGTGGTCACGCCAACAAAATTCCCGACCCTTAGCCACTATGGCCGACCGGAGGAGGATAAATGGTCCTGTGGGGGCTACTCTACCTCCAGTCTACGACAGCCCTCCTCCGCCTCGGAACAGCGCAGAAAAAACCGAAAATGCCATCCGCAAGATCTGTACGTAGAAGGCCGCTGCGAGATTGCTTTGTTCACCTTGCCACTCGCTAAACTTTCATGCGTAGTTCTGCAAACAGGTGTCACCCCGTCTGCTTCTGGATCCGCCTACCTGGAGCTTGTGAATCCCAATCCGACTGGCCCTAGCAACACGAGCCTCAAGTTAAGCTGCACTGTCCACGGCCCACGAGCTCTCCCACGATCTGCGCCCTTCTCACCACATATCATCTTGACAACCCACGTCAAATACGCGCCATTTGCGACGAAGCAACGGCGCGGCTATCTACGAGATTCGAGCGAGAGGGATCTTGGCGTGCACCTGGAGACCGCACTACGAGGGGCTATCATCGCAGACCGCTGGCCCAAGAGCGGCGTCGACATTATTGTCACGATAGTAGAAGGCGATCAAGACCGCAATGCGCCCGAGAATCAGCGCGATGATAGTTGGGATATGATGAACGTGCTGAGCGGCTGCATCACTGTGGCATCGGCCGCGATTGCTGATGCAGGTATCGACTGCGTTGACACCGTAGCTGGAGGCGTCGCAGCGCTGGTCGCCAAAGACGCAACAAGCCCACCGTCCATCGTCCTCGACCCAGCCGTTGCCGACTACCATAAGATCTACGCAGCCTGCTGCATTGCCTACCTGCCTACGCGGGACGAAGTCACGAACATGTGGTTCAAGGGTCAATTACCCGGCGCTGATATCATGGTGTACAATAATATGGTTGAGAGATGCTTAGTTGCGTGTCGGAATGCCAACCATGTTGTCGTCACGGCCCTGAAGAAAACCGTCAATCCTGAGGAAGAGGTATCATGATTGCGCTGGTTTCGGTGAATAACCGTTCGAACGCATCAATCTTACCGCAATAACACAGCCTTGATACCTCGTGGCGTGCGCAGCCTCATAAACGAAAGCATATGAAGGCTGAGTCAGATACAGGCCCAGTACCATCGGCATCAAGCACGATGCGCAAAACACACTCAACGTAGTAAGCGGTGAGGCAGTGATTACTGGAGGCCGCCTTCTCTAAGACACGAGAGTATAAATGGCCTGGATGGAGGACGGCGGAGCTGAGCAGACAACTTCAATCCCGAAGCTATGTGAGCTGGCAGCGTGAAATGCTTGCTAGTAAAAACTTGATCGAGAGCGGACATTAGTCAGGCTGCGTACCTTGGGAGCACACGAGTGAGAGAGATCTGGTGTGGGAGTGTGTATGAACTGTAAGTTGATACCTACCTACCGGGTGCAACCTTAAAGAGTATCCAGGTATGCTTAATCTT